TGAATGTCGATATATAATCATCAATAATTTGTTACATCATATATATTATTTATGATAATCAGACAAGCCACCTCAACTATACATTAATTAGACGAGTAAACTTCTGGTTTACTATAACAAGTTTCAAGTAAAACTCTATCCAACATCAACTCACACTTATATTTCAACAGTCTCCCCCTCAAGTGCGAGCCATAAAACATGTTTTCCTTATTCATGTATTTCAAAAACATGACTAGCATATAATAGGCTAATAACCTCTATTACTTGGAAGTCCAAGTACTTCCTAGTTCATATATAATTATGGATTTTAATTCGATTAGGCTATTACTTTTCAGACTCTTTCGAAACCGAAGTTCTAATGTAGATCAATGGGTCATATTTTTTTACCATTAATTCTTTATCTGCCCATAAAGAAAAATATGTATTAGTTCTTCAGGAACTATATTAATATTTTTACACATAATTCTTCAGGAACTAAGTAATTTGAGAAGAATAAGGAGACAAATTCATCTTAATAATATCGTAATACATAATAATAAATAGTTATAAGTATCATAAGTTTAACTGGTAATATATATAGAATTTACCCATACTGCAAAGATGATTTTGTCCAACCAATCAAAATTAATATCAACTATTTATAATAAATTTTCTCATAAAGTTAAATAAATTTCTATTTTCTCAATTCAAATGTGACATAAATATATGATTTTTTCTCTCAAATGTCACAGCAAAAACTAATTTAATTGTAGATATACAATTTTCTTTTATACTTTTTCAAAATATATGAACTTAAAGAATTAAATAATGTTTGAATTAATCCAATAATCATAATTTTTTAAACTATAATTATCATCTGCACATGCTTAATTTATTCTCATAAACAAACTCATATAATTAAAGAGAACGCAAATATAGAATATCTTTTAAAATAAACTTTCTGAGAATAAAGTGTAAAATTGAACTTATCGTCAAAACTTCTTAACATTAATATATATTATTTATTTAATTTGTAATACTCAAAACATATCTTTTAAAAAATTACATACACATTGTATGAATACTTAACTTTTCTTTCTCACCGAATTTCTTATTTAGTTAAACTCAAAACAATTTCAAATGCTCACAATAAAATTTATTGTCAATAAATCACAATAAATCATTCAAATTAAGATCATACAAATAGCATATAAATAAACAAAATACGAACAATATATCATCTCTTTAATTTGTGCACGAATAGCACAATAAAGTACCAATATCATAATATGACCATTTTTTTGCTATTCTATTGATATGAAAATAAATTATATTCACAATTCATATTCATAAATATGCAAGTAAATTGGCACCATAAATTAACATTTCAAAGTGACCAATAACTACTTTTAATGTTTATCAATATCTTAATATCAAATACTTATAATAATATATTTCTACCAATAAATCACAAGAAATTTAAAATAATATTATATAACCTTCTGGATATAGCCTTCTGGGCTAATGATTATATTTTTCAACTTTGACTAATTTGAACATATTTCTCTATAAGATATTACCTTGGGCATTATAACTACATTTTTATACTTTTCATAATATCTCTTGATCTTTTGATTTCATAACCAATTTTAACATTTACTTTCAATAGATTGGTACATATATTTGTCTATATGACTTCTGATCATATTATGATATTTACTCATAATTGTTTTTTACTATAGAGGTATCAATATCTCCTCAATTATGGTTTAATAGCTAAAATCAAATATTATTGCCCTTTAATTATTAATTCCAACAGTACAATGTGGGCATGCTCTTTATCACTCTCATAGACATATTCCTTACTTTCAGTAGCACATAATCAATTTATTCAAATATTAGTCTTCAGGACTATAGTAAAAATCTTTCAAATAAACTCTTTTATGCCATTTGATGTTTGAACTATTAGCCTTCAGGGCTTTGATACTTGTCACAATGTAGCCTTCAGGGCTTCAATACTTGTCACCATGTAGCTTTTAGGGCTTTGATATTTGTCACTATCAAATCATCAAAGTGCCATAGATTTTTCTTGTCATTCCATTTAAAAGTATCCATAGTGTTCTTTCACAAAAGAACAATTGCAAAAGTGATATGACTTTGGTCATCTAATCACATATGGCTTCTAGCCATTTAATAAAATTAAATAAATAATATTGTAATGAAATAAATTAAATAAATTAAAATTCATAATCAAATATAAATAACATTATATAATCATATATATATAATACTGCGATAGATATAAAATGACATAATATAAACCAAACAGATATATGTAAACAAACAATAGAACAAGAAGTATGGAAAAATAAATAAAAGAAATAACACAATATCACAATGGGGAGATAATAGAATTAAAATGTATAAAAAGAATAAATTAATAAATAACATAAAAGAACAACATAATATATAGCAAATATATAGAAAATTAAAATTAGACGTGATAATAAGATAAAAAGAATAATTGGGTAAGGAGATGTTAGTAGAAAGTATTATCATATACTATAAGAATATATTAATTTACAAAAGGCTTATACCTCAAATCTTCAGAGCAAACTCGTGCTGATAACGTGTTATGAAAAATGAGAAAAGTACAAAGATTGAGATGAGGGAGATGGAGAGAATAAGAGGAAATTGGAGGAGAAATTAAGGGGGAGTTCTCATTCACTTCATTGTCTCAAATGTGTGTACATCATCTCCTATTTATAGGACCCCAATATTAAAGACTAACATAAAGAGTTACAAGTACATAAAGAAAGGAATTAAGCAACATAATTGTACAATTGGAGGTTATAGGAAATCAATACTTGAAACCCTTCAATTTAGGAGTTATAAGGTATAATGCCATTAACCATGAGAAGGAATCCCAAGGGGCTAAGGAGTTATGAACATCCACACAACATAATATTTACAACACTTTTTTTTTTTTTTTACCATTTTTCAAAGTAATTGTTAACGTTAATTAAACTACACTTCTCATCATTTTTAAAATGTTGCAGTTTATCTTAAACTAACTCATCCGAGTTCAATTGGATATGTGTTGGCTTATTCTTTAAGTTCTCTGATATGTAAGAGGTCCGCCTGATTTTTAGCAATTATATAATAAGTGTGGATTCCAATTAGGTAATCATACAATTACTAAAAATCATATATATAATATACTATCATTAGAGATTCAAAGATTTATCATATTTTATTTATTAAAGTTTAATCACAAAGTTATATAGAATGTTATATATACTTCTTTGTTTATAGTATCATGACTAATACTATCTCCGGTCCTTAATAGTTAAGACCTTATTTGATTTTTATTTTGGTTCTAAATATAAGACTCCAATATATTTTATCTCTTATATTTATTTATTTTTTTCCACCATAGTCTTTCTAATAATAATAATTGTAGCCAATAAACTTAGTTGGCAAGGATATTTTAAGAAAAACAATATATATTTATTACAAATAACTAACTTAAGTTATTTTCTTAATCTACTCAAATTAGTCAGTTAGCTTTTATATTTAGGACCAGAGGTAGTATATGCTTTTAAAGTATTTATATATTTATTGTTTGTATCTTTTATAGTTATAAATTTGAGTGATTATGTATTGATTTATATATAAGAAAGCCCACCTAAATCTATCCAATATATTCAGCTAAAAAAAAATCCATCCAATATATATGCATGGTTTGCTTTTGGGGAATTTTGTTTTTTCAAAAGAAATCCGAAGTAAATACAATATACATGAAACTATTAGAAGGAAAGTATAAAAAATGTTCATCACAAATCTTTTTTGGTTATTGAAAAATCATATTTGCTATTTATTTTTGAAATAATTAATTTGTCAATCATTATAATTTCACTTGATTTTTAACCGAGTCCTATAAGTCCCCTCCCCCTTTTTATTATATGAAGGGACCCATATTATAATTGAGGAAACCACAAAACCTAGTTAAAAAAGAAAAAAAGAAAACCATAAAAGCTTCATTTTTTGAAACTATAGAACTTTACATATTAATTTTTCTTTTATTTTTTGCAAGAATTTCTATAGTTTTTTAATACCATTATTTTTAGCAAAAGAATGTTGTTAGGTGAGATTAGTGCGGTTAACAGCTAAAAGCAGTTAGAACATAAGAGTTGTGGGGCAAATATCTAGCCTCACTTTTTCATTAAAGGGAATCACTTGGACAGTTGGACTTGGATAGAGCATTCTTTGCGATGGTCTTATTAGGTGGTAAAATAATTTCAAATCAAATCCAAATTAATACTCCCTCAGGTACTTTTTATAAAATTTTATTAAATAAATTATACGGTTTTAAAAAACAGTTAACATTAATTAAAAGTAATAAATATGTAAAAATTAGACCTCATTTTTTTTATTTGTGTTCTTATGTAATGAGGGAACAAATTAGAGAAGTAGCGAGGTCAACGATGAAAGGGAATAAAATGAGGAAAAAACGAGGAAAGAACATAGAAAAATTAATTAGAGATAAAATTAGTAAAAAAATATTTAATATTCAGACAATCATTAGTATTATCTTATAAAAAAACCAAATCAATTCAAATTTTAAAATCTTGTTAATAGTACCGAAGGGAGTAATATTGAACACCATATAGTTGTACTAAAAGAATGAGCAACAAAATAAAATTACATGTATAATTCATACCTTAAGATGACATTCATTAAATCTAGAAAAAGGTACGAGGTCTATAAAACAAGAAAAATCAACAAAAAGTTCCATTAGCGGACGAGCAACGTAAATGTTGTTGTCACTTACTCCTTAAACTTGTCATTAACTTGTTATGGAGCATTTTAATAATTACATTCTTTCTTGAAATCACCTAGCGATTTCCCTTTTGATCTCCATACAAACACACCATATCCATTCAGTTTGTTGAATAACGAGAATCCAAATTGTGCGCAGAGGCTTGAAAAAACTCCTGCTTTTCACTTGCAGCAAAGGAAGTAGGGACCGAGTAGGAAGAAGTCCATAAAAATAATTTATTTATTTCTTCTTCAAAAAAATATTACAATTTCAATATCACAAGTGAACCACAAAATTTGATTGAATGAACATTACTGACATTGGCTCCTAACACCCAGCCCCAGTAATCTTTCAAAATTGGTGGCATCTCTCTCTCTCTCTCATTCATCAAGATCTCTTCACAGTGGCTGTAGCAAAAAATGGATGGTGACTGAACTCAAAAGAAATCTTGAGTGATGGATCAATGGCTCCTAGCCTGCAAATGACATTTAAAGCCACACTGTTATGCTCTGCTACTTGCTCTACTCTGCGCAGCTCACTCATTTTATCAGGGTCATTGGAAAAACAGCTCTTGGCATCTTTGGAAATTTTCTGGGCTTCCTTGAAGTAATCGCACATGACTAGGTTCTGAAAAACAAGATTTATGAATATGACAATTGAGCCTCTTGTCCATGGGGACTTAAACATCTAATGATGATTACTGGTTAAGCACCTATGAATACTTACCGAGAAATTAACATGCATTGTTGATTCCTTAAAGGATCTGTATGAGACGTGATCAGGGAGACAAGCTTTCCGTAGAAGCTCAAATTGCTGAATGAATATCTGGACAAAAGGGTAACAAATGATTAAATTGTAAATGGCAGATGTAGCTTGAGACATGGGCCATTTAGGGTGAGTATCATTCGTAAGAGTTTACCCCAACAGAAACATGTTAGTTTTCCTTCTTTCTTTCTTTCTCTTGTTTTTTTTCTCCAGGTCGACAATCACATTGGGTTTGATTGAACTTGCCTCACATAGACCCGATAAATCACATAGACCCGATAAAAACTAGGACTACAACCCCAAATTAACATAAATGCATTTGCTTCTTTTTCCTTGTTTTTTTGAATAAATAAAATTTAGGTGAGTTGGTCCCAAAGACTTGCCAAGGTCAGGACAAGCCTCACAACTCAGAGAACACTTACAAAAATATTTACATATTGCCCACAAATGAAGTCTTCACATAGGTAGTGGGATTTCTACCCACATCCTCGTGAGATATTGGTCAAATTCTTCCCAACTGATCCAATCTTTGTTAAGGTTTGCTTGGTTTTTCAATAAAAGAATTTGGGTGAGTTAGATCCTACAGGTTAACTAAAATCATAACAAGCTTCACTGTTCAAATAGCATCTACAAAAGCATATAGGTATATTTGCGTTTAATTACACGCATGTTTATCAAATTATCCCAATAGATGTGGAACTTAGTCGATCCAACATATCTTCTAGCCACTTTATACACAGCGGCTAGACAACAGAGAAAATTATCTAAATGCAATTGGACGCATGATCATTTTAACTTTCTTCTAAAATCATAGTAATCTTGAGGAGAATGAATCCATAAATAAGCTTCAGATACATAGACTATGAAGTTTTACCAGTCCTAAAAAGGCTTGGCAAAGTTTAAACTAGGGTTGTTTAAACAACTGATCAGTGTCAATGGAAGAAATGAAAACCCTTACCTCATGTTCTGTATTAAAAGGGCTCTGTGGTACTGTCAAAATGCGCTCATTCTTCAAGGCAGCAAGCATCTAGGAAATAAACAAAAGAAACTACTTACAAAACTGGAGCCCAAAATAAAAGGGGGATTTTTTTTCGTTGTTTTGGTTTTTTTTTTTGGGGGGGGGGGGGTTCATACTGTTAAATGTATCTTCATGCCCACAAAGTAAATACAAGACGTTATCAGACCAAACGTCTCCCCCTGATGTTTAGGAAACGAATGAATGACTTTGAGGAAGTTAAGGAAATGAATGACTGAGACAAAAACATGTATAGGCTTCATTTTTGACAACCGAAAGAATGAGATTACCATGCATAATCCTTCAGCTAGATATATTTGGCCCTGAAGAAACAAGACAGCTCCTGGCATCTGATAATCCCGGCCTGCATCCTTGAAAGAATCCCTTTTCTTCTTAGCCTTCTTTTTGGCTGATCAAGACAAAGCATAACAGCATACGAAGTCAGAGCCTCGAGGGAATTCAATAGTTCTTACTTCTGTGTGCACAATTACAAGGACACTGAATTATACATTGCTAAACTTTTCAAGTTGGAAGCACACATGTTAATACAGCGTATTTTAATAACTTAGATGAAGTACATACCAGTACCACTATTCATCACGACCCTAAGATGTGTCTTCTCCGCAAGCTTGATCAGAACTGTATATATATACCAGTATACCATGCAATAATCATGTACAGAGTAGAGCTCCAATTCAAAACCCAAAATAAGAAAACGGTATGCTATCCAGTAAGTTTGCTCTTCAACCCACATGAGGATCTGTTGGAATATTTTGAAACATAACTGCAGGAGCAGAGCAATGCTATAAATTGGCAACTGAATAAATTATAGTTCAGCCATAGTAGCTAGTTAGACGATCAACAAATACTACTAAAAGAAAATAGTTTTGCGAAAAGGTTAAGGTGCAAATTTGTTCTAGAAGTTTTCACTCAGGAGCACGGGACGCCCAAAAGGATTTTGCAGTACAAATTTGCCTTGGAAGTTTAAAATCGCAGCAAAATTGCCCTCCAACCATTAAAAAACCAACATTGGCCGTTAATATTTTTAACGGTAGGGGTATTATTGCCACGATTTTAAGCTTTCCGAGCAAATTTACTCCAAAAAAAAACTTCTAGACGCCCAACACTTCTACGTGAAAACTTATAGGGCAAATTTATACCTTAAACCTTGTTGAAATGTTAGTGGAAACAAGTTAAGGTTGAGAGAGTTTGATATAACTTCTCAGGGCAACCAATAGCTATTTTTTCTATGGGCATTACTCCCACGTAGGTATTTGATAAACTCAAGAAAGTTCTTGTCACTCAGTAAAGAAACACACCTCATCATAGGAGGGGTTTGCAGCTTCTCCAAACTCCTTTTTAAAAGCCAACTCCAGCTGTAAAGGAGGAATGTAAGATGAGATGTGCTTAAATGGGCGTTCACAAAATCATAACATACGGAAATGTAGTATGGAAGTTCAATCCAGAGAATAAGCAGACATATCACTATATGATTATCTTTATATGCATTTTCTTTATCCTCGTGAAAGGAAATGGGATTCTGCAATCTCAAACTCACTATAGGTCAGCTAGGAAATAGATAAGATCAATTAAAAAGAATAAAAGATTCAGAATTCTATTTTCAATCCATTATCTGTACAGCTTGATCAATTAGAAATGTCAGAAGTAATTATGTGCAGAAAAGCTCTGTCGACCACTTTCAACGAACTATATCCATTTATACACCTTTAAAAAATAAGACAAATTCAAGGAGGTTTTACAGCATGCAGAAAACATGGGGCAGAGGGAAGCTTATCACAAAAGCCACATCTTTTCCTGAGGATGTACCTGAACATAGATGACACGCCAGTCTTGTAACATTTTCCCTAGCTTACGTCTTTGCCATGCAGCATTGGTACACAGGATTTTGAGCAAATTATTTACTAACTGCAAATGAGATATTGCATGGATTAGAGGAAAAGCTAAATGCAACAGGCTGTGAAAACACTAGCACCCTTTTTTAGTAGATATTCCAGATTGTTTACGTAACAAAGTAATAATACAAAGTGCTTTAGTCAACCCTTAATTGTGTTGGTTAATAACATGATATAAGCGTCTCATCCCCACGAGCATCATATCTATAGATTTTAGAACACATTTACCAAATAGAAGGGGTTAAAAAATTATTTTCAGGACAACATGCCAATTGGTTATGACTTCACTACCTGCCCAAGTTGTACCATGGATTCAGTTTTTTGAATGTCATGATCCTTCGTGACTTCAGGCAATCCAGCAGCTCTAGTAATCAAAGCAAACATTGGAATCCGTCCATAGAGCTTCCCATCTTGGACCAGCAGGAGCTGATGAAAAGTTAATCATTGCTTAAAGAACATACCAGATATCAAAATAAGAGTAGTAAGTGAAATCATTGTAACTTGCAAAATTTGTACCTTTACTAGCCTGTGCATAATGAAATGATAAACCAATAGAAAAGAACTCAAAAGAAGCTTGCATCAATATGCAAACCACAAGCACAAATTAGGTATAAAACAAAAACTGAGAGAACTTGGCGTCTCTAGCATCCCATATCAGGTTTTTTTAAAGCTACACATATTTTATTATGATTATATGTCACACAGTATCACATGGACTGTGGTGCTTTACCATGAAAAGTCAATTTTCCCTAATGCTCAGGTTAAGTCATGTAAGCTTCTGACAATGGTGATTCCAAAAATCAGGCTCCTCCAAAGCGTAGATGTCCTTTAATCATTATATTTTTTAAAACAGAATCGCATGAATAGCATATCTTATCCATGAAAAGTCAACTTCTTTAGTGTAATAACCACTGACGTAAGCTTCTACTGGGGATGATAACTTCAAAATATTCCATTTGACATGGTAAAAATAGTAATATTCTAATTGTTAAAGCATCTTATTCACATCTTATTCACTATAATGAAGGAAAGATACTTTTTTATCATTTTTTGTTCCTTTTAAGTACAGGGGGATAACTTCGATGTTCATCACAGACAACACACCCTTCCCTTCTTGAACATCTCGCAAAAGGCACAGATTGAAAAAAATTAGCTATATGGAAAAATATTTAAATAACTGGACTTCTTATCTAGACAGAAAATAAATGTTCTATAAGAATATAAGAAAAGAAACAATAATGAATTGAGGGGAACTTAAGAGCATTTAAATGGTCCACCTGAAGATGAGATCTAGCAACCAAATCAGGCTGAGACTTCTGGAATTTAATCACAAAGTGCAAAGCAGCCTCCAGTGACGGATCCAAAGAGTAGGAACATATAATGTCCAGATCTTGCAGAAGTTTCACAAAATACTGAACAGCCTGGCACAGAGAAACAAGAAGCATTACAGGAGAGACAGTCACATAGTAACAGTAAACTGTGAAGCAAATGTATGGTATGAATACTGGTATAAAACAAATTTTCGTGAAAAAATATAAGTACAGTACCATACTTTATCAAATTCATAAAGATTTTTTTTTTAATATCTAAAAACGTATTGCAATGTTTATTTCTAAATAATGTTTCACAATATAATATGTAATTTCAAAGTATATACTATACTATAGGCTTGACATTGCTCATGAATTTAGCATGTACATCCCATAATCCCAAGACAATAGTCCATTTTCACTGCTCATCTTCAGTGAATGGGAAGCAGTCTCACTTTATCCCATGAAAATTGGCTTCACTGAAAAGAATAGCAACAGAACTAAAGAAGAGGATGCCAGAGCCATTTGACCAGGAGCATCAAGAAATAGGACCAGTCAATTGGGCGAACATCAATCTCAGACATGACTTGAAATTTCAGAGGAGAAAAGGCCAGAAATTTCAAATCTAGACACTATAATGATGTGTTTTGCTCAGCAGAAAATGTCAATGTCCTAAATGATAGGTTTCAATAATTCAATCGGAGGTATCAGCTGAGTATCAAGCCATATATGTGGCTACGAGATCTGTATCTCTACCGTATTAATATTGGAATTTCTCTTGACAAAGCAATGACTTCAATACTCAAGGCTTTCTCAAGTATCAGTGCTTCTGACATAGTAACAACATAAGCACTCACCTTTTTCCAACTGAGAATTTTAATAGATCGGGGAGGAGTTGGGGCTGATGATCTGCAGTTTAAACTAGCATCAAATCCAATTGCTTGACAACCAGATGCAGTCGTGTCTTCTATGTTTTGTTCACACATTCCCTGAGCACTAGCCCTAAGAAACTCTGAGGATTTTAAAATGCACTCAAGCTCCGAAATGCATGAAGCTATGTGTTTCCTTGCCAACTCCAGTCCCCTCCCTTGTGGCCGTCTGATAGACATCAAAAGATGGTACAAATGCTGAAAGAAAATTAAACATTGCGGAAATTTCAGTCAAATAATGCTTGATTCATTGACAAGAAGATTGAAGGTGGATGAAAAAGATAGAAAATAAACAAATAACATCATTTAAGTCTAAGTCTAATATAGTTATGGTAATGTGACCACATTCTCAAGCCAGATGTGAACAACAAAGTTTATATATTAGCAGTATGTCAGCCTCAATTTTGACAGCTAATCTGTGCTAATAAAGATATATTTGAAGGGATGGATGCTGATTTTACATTTTTTTTTCCTCTTATCTTTGATGTGCACTAATGGACAAAATGGATACCAAAAATTATGTAAGCATAAAGACAACTCATTGCTGATGTGTTGACAAGTTTTCTGTGTGCTGATTGACCAAATGGATTGCAAAAATTGTGAGCATAAAGACAACTCATTTCTGATATGTGGACAAGTTATCACAAACAAAACGAGAATGTAGTTTTATATAATCTGCATGACTTATAAAAGAATATACATAGGATAAGACCTTACGAAAACGTAATCGGCATAACAATGCTTTGCAGTAGCCTTCTTCTAGATCAGGATTATTTTGAAGCGGCTCCGTATCTGCAATGGAATAGCTCAAAACTCAATTAAAAGCATAAATTTAACATAACATACGCCTACTTAAAAGAAGCAATAATAGAATAATCAAGGATTAAGGTAGATCCCGTACCCGGAAGTATTTTCTTACATGTATCTAACACCCCAAAGTATTTTGTGGTGCATCCAACACCGCGAAATATTTTTTAGACACGTCCAGCACCTTGAAATATTGTTTCTTTGTTTTCTTTTTTGCCTTGGTGCTAATGCACAAAAAACTATTTTTGGACGCTAGACACATCTGAAAAAAATACTTTGAGGTGCTAGACGCATCAAAAAATATTTCATGGTGCTAGACACACCTAAAAAATATTTCAGGATACTGGATGTACCAAAAAATAATTTAGGGTGTTGAATGCATCTGATAAAATACTTCAGGGTGGTGAATGCATTTTAACCCAATATAATCAATTAGTTGCAGGAGAGGAACTTCTGTGTTCCATCCATTTATAAACAACAGAGCAATCCTGTTATGTAATTATAATTATAAATAAGAAAACACTTAAATATGATATAAATAGGGTTTAAATAAATATTATTAGGAGTTACATAGTATTTAATTATATTAGTAGGATTTGGATAGATTAGGATATCTAGATAATATTCAGATGATATTAGGATATTTACTTAGATTTATATCTATTAGGGCTTTTGCTTATAAATAAGTATTACCCATTCCTTGTAACTCAGTTTTTTGTAATGTGATTAGAAATTATTCAGTTTCTCTTGATCCTCTACTCTTCTCTATTTCTATTACTCTTTTTCCTTTCTCTTTCCTCTCTCTCTCTCTGTCCCTTATTTCTTTACTTTTCATAACAAATCCTCAGAGCAAAGAGACAGAAAATGGAATAAGCATTCTGGGAATAAAGTAAGGAATAATATATCACTGTGTATAGTTATTTATAAGTACATTAGCATTATCAACAATCAAGGGTTATAGGTATCTGGTGATTCAGGTTAAGATTGCTTATTGCTTGTAATTTATCAGAATCAGCATCAAATTAATATTAAAAGGAGTTCCAGTGTTCCCCTTTCTCTCACTGAACAATAAAGAAAAAAAGGAAGGAGGGAAAAAATTGCTTTATAACCCTGAGTCAGTCACTAATCAATTACCATATTGCTTATAGAGGATGGAAACACCCTTTTTTGGATGATAGAGTATGGAAACACTTGAATCAACAGAAAAGATGAATAATGGAAGGAAAGAAACAACAGATTACAGTATTGCTAAAGATGTAAGCAAATCTCTGCCCCAAAAAACTCTGAAGGAGTATATTTATCTATCTAACCAAGCTCTTTCCTCTCTGTAACCGGCTCTGATACCATGTCAACAAAAGATGACAGAGTCCTTCTATTGTATTTAGAATGAAGCAATTATATGGATCTTTGGATAAGTAAGGCTACTCTTAGAAAATCAGAAAATCACAATAAAGGACATAAAAGACTAATAAAATGACTAAAAAGTTTAAATTTTCTACAATTCTAGCGCTTCCAATATTTCTAACGATTTACAGAAAAGATCATAAATATACAATATGACAGAGTATATGTTATGACCCTCTACTATAACAAGACTTCAACCAGAGATAGATAACAAAGACAGGGAATAATTGAATCAGAACACAATATTCCTGCATAATTAACTCGATTGCAAGGGGCAGGATGATTTAAGACATAACTCACTCTCTTACACAATGAACAAGTGACTAACAGTTACGAACTCACAAGAAACATAACACAGAACAAAACACAATGACATTACAGACTCTCTAAAACAGAATAGGGTTGCCAATCTTGCGAGAGGTTGGCACTCTCCAACCCAAGGGCTAAAACCACACTTCAAAATTCTCCAGACCTGCTGCTGAACCAAAAGGGACGATTTATAGACCCCAAAAAGTGACTTTCACACTCCCCAAATTAAACCTCTCAGAGCCTTTGACCATAGTCAACCAACAACTTCCCTATTTTTATATTTCTTTCTAAAAGTGAAAGTTCTGACCGACAAAAGCATTTTTTCCCTTTCTGTATTTTCCTAATTTTCTAAAAGTAATCCTAACAGTATATAGGGCATAACTTATAAGGCCTGCTACAACCAGTACTGAGAACTTTCAACAGAATAATGGTAGTTATGGGCTTCAACATGAAACTACCTTCTAATACTCTTCGTTTAGATGATGATTTACATGCACGCAGTTGGCGTGATATTGATTCCTCAACAGCATTTAGCATCGATAAGCACTTCTCATCTCCATCTACACTCAGAGGAAGGCCATATGCCATGGTAAATAGATCCTCTTCCTGAAACAGATAAATATCACCATTTTTTTATTTAGTGAGAGATTTTTGGTAGGAGCACAAAATTCTACTTAAAGGACTAAAGGAGATAAACAAATATTGACATATATCACCATACTTCCATCTGACACATAAAATATGACAAATATGCTGAAAAGACGCACAAATAGACCAATAAGCAACTGTGAATTTGATAAAGGAAAGCCACATGCATCGTAAATCCACATCATTACTACATAAACAAACTTAATCCATGATGTGATATTAATAATGACATCAACAGAATTCCAGCATTCTATTTACTCGTTTCATGCCATATTCTTCAGTTAATGGCAAATCAATAATGCATAATCACACACTTCAAAAGAACACAATTTTATTTAAATAATTACAACTACTAACAAAATTAAGGACGGAAAATCACACGGCATATTATAATGCATAACAGCATAAGAGATTGAAAAAAAAAAAAAGAAGATCTGCTGGAGTACTTTACTTCATGTGTGCGTGCATCTGAGACAACTGAAAGAACTGCTTTGCAGGTTGCACGAATGACTCTACAATATGAGTGCAACAGGGCATGCGATGATGTTCTGTCAGGCTGTAGGAGATAGAGGCAAGAATAAACAGTTTGAGCCAATGAATGACCCTTGTGCCATGTTGCCTGCCATGTGAAATAATCACTAAGATAATAAGAAAGGAAAGTGTAATGCATGTACTGAAACCAGAGACAACAAATGCACACAGTTTTGCATGTCACTTGAACATTTTTTATTGGTACAATTTTAGTTGAATTAATTTTAGTTCCCATACTCAACTAAAATTTTAAGCTTCATCACACAAATACTCTACAAGATTTATAAAATAGAAGTATCCTGGAAAGAGAGTATATTATTTACATACTCTATGCACTAAAGTGGTGCAAATGTGATTTATATAATAGAAGTATCCTGGACAAAGCGTATATTATTTCCATACTCTAAGCACTAAAGCAGCGCAAATGCCGTTATATGACCAGGAGGGGAAAACAGCATTTATACAGAGCAACAGATTATGATCACACTCATCAGCCATGCATGATATGTGAGTGTTTCTGTAAGTTATCATATGGAAGGCATGTGTATGAAAATTAAATTACCTCACATGCCAGAAGATGGTCCATAATGTCAATTGTGCATCGAATATCAGTTGTCTTATCAACATTAACAGGAACTGGAGCAGCTCCATTCTCGATGGCTTCCTCAAGAGAGTAGTATCTACAAACAATACCTGAATCCATCTTTGGGTCCATTATCTATCAAAAATAGAAAGTTTAAAAAAAAATGTAAGCAAGACTAATTGTATGAGTGACTACTGCTGAATAACCACTGAAAATGATTCTCATATTGGACAAATTCTCTGCATGTCGCTAGTGCATTGTTTGTGTGGCAAGGCATGCTCATTATCTCCATTTCAAAGTGGTAAAGCCAAATGATTTTTGTTTGTGACTAATTCATATAAGAAACCAGCGACATTCTACATTTCTATTATCATAAAAAGGGGCATAATACTGCTACCAGAGCCCACTGATATTGCAATCAGCAAGATGTAAAAATACCTCCAACGCTGACATTGCAGCAAATAGATTGAAATTATCCCCGTGAATCAGCTCTCCCTCCTGAAGATCTGTAGCCAACTACATGAAATAAAGTTCGAAAAGAAGAAACTAACATAGCCTCAAAGTATGGCGACCATTCAAATTAGGAAATCCAAGGCGGAAAATTATTCCAAAATTTACCAACCAACATATTAATAGGGAAGGAGGGAGTGAAGTTTAATCACCTTTTTTTTTTTTTGCCAACTAAGTTTAGTCACTTATTAAATAAACAAGACCTCATTGTTAAATAAACAATCTCTCGCCTTTTAGGAAAAAATGAAATGTTTAGTGTTAGTTTACAATTCATGTGCATGAAATGAGAAAGTGGGAAACTGCTTTAGAGAAGGGGAAAAAACAACAAAATTTTATAATGATCAAATAGTAAACTCATGATTGCATATTTCGCATTTGTATTGAGCAGCAACATATAAAAGACCGAGAAAATTAACCAAGTATTAGAATCTGTAAATCTATATACAATCTAAAAACTCCATCAACCCACACGTGACTCATTTTCAAACGCCATGTCTCACATAAAAAACCCTTCGATCAACTGATCCTACTATGTCTGAGATCAAAAGGGAAACAAACAAACTTGATCCTACTATGTCCACTTAATTTGACTAGATTTCTCCGCCAAAACCAAAGGCACCTGAAGCTAATTTTGATTTCCTTGTTCAAGCGGGAAGAGGAAAACCAGTCGATAAGACTCACAGGTAACAAGAACACAAACGGGGGGGGAAAAAAAAAAGGACCTTGGCAAGCGGCTTGAAGGAGGGGCGACACATCGGCCCAAACAGAGTTGTCGCCGGAGGGAATGGAGGTGCGACCAGGCATGGCAACACCGAAGGCTGCTTCGTCTGTAGGCTTCTGAGCCATACGTTGAAGCTTCCTCGGAGTTTATTATATTATGTTCTCCGCCACCTACGTTTCGAGGTCTTGTCAGTGTAACACAGACCTCCTGAGTCTCTTCAGGCTCGGGTCGCCAGGTCAAGTTCAGTGAGGAACATGGCAGAGCCAGCGCCTCAGTCTAAGGGGGTTTAGGGTACAACGGGGTCGGGTGATGGGTCGGGTCAATGGATCCACTTTTCTTTTTCCCTAATATAATTTTTTTGTCTTGAAATTTGAGTCTATTTTTATTTTAGTCCTCCAATTTCAACTTCATTACTTTAATCATTAAAATTTAGTATATTTTAAAATGTTAATCTATATGTATCAGTATTAAAATGTAATGAGGTACCATAAATGATATTAAAATGATAATATGAATTTACTAAATAATACCTAGATAAATCTTATGTGGATCACAAAACGATTATATAGAAAGAATAAATTCTCAAAACATAAAAAACTCCTCAATTAAATAACAAGGGAAAAAAAAAGGCTGCATAGCTGCATTTCGAGGACTAAATCTTTTTTTCTTTTCTCTATTATTCACACAAGACTTAGTTAACGCTATTTATAACACTTAAATAGATTTTAACTATGCTATGTTTTCAGTACTAACATTTTAGGATAGATTAAATTCTAAGAACTTAGATCATAGATTTGAAATTTGAAAGACGAATTCCAAAATAAACCAAAATTTTATGGACAAAAAATTATATTAACTTTTTTATTTTTTATTATTGAAATAGTTTTATTCCCAATTTTCGATGCATTCATTAAATTAAATATTGAAAAATATTGACTTAATAATTTTATATTAAATAGTAGTGTCTAGAATATGTAAAATAGAATTGTGTAATCGCTGGCAAAAAAAAATTGTATAATCAACTACAAATAATTATGATAATCAAAGTATAACTACTTATATTTTTATTTCTTACGTGATGCATGAAAATATTTTTATAGTTCTGAAAATATAAATAAATAATAACTGTTTGTATGAAAAATAGAAAGGAACTTCTTTATTTTAGATTTATTACTCATTTATAATAAAATGTAACAACAATTTATTTTATTCCATAAATGTTTATACCTACAATTTAAAAATCTAAAACACAAGTTTTATTTTATAACTTATTTTTATACTATGTGAACAATTTGTTTTACTTTTAAATTCGTTATATCGTTCATATATACTTAGTCTCGATTATTACTAATCTTAAAAAATAAAGAAAAATACATTATATTTTCTCTTATTTTTAATATAAAAACTACTTAATTAATTTGAACAAATTAAAAAAATTAAACAAATAAATTATTATAACATATGTGCGACATAATACTCCTAAAACACTCAAGTATAAGAAATAAGAAATAAAATTGATTCAAATTTTATATTTCTAAATAAATACAACATCTGACTAGCTCTTAGAAGCTAGAAGGAGCATTGTATTAGGTTTAAAATTTCAGAATATAAAATATAATAGATTGAGAACAGCAGCTATAGAAGCCAGACGTAACGATGGAATAGACCTGGGGGCAATTTATTCATTATGTAATTTTTTTCAAATGAGTCATTATGTGTTAGGTAAAATTAATGAATTTTTTTTCCAATTTTAATATTCAAAAGAGTGTAGCATCATACAACATTTTATCCATCAAATTTTTTTTTGGATAGAATCTAAAGTATTCTCAAACCATTTTGAACTTGAAACTACTCTTTTTTTGTCCCGAAACATCAAGCTTTAAGCCCTCCCACAAACTGTAGCAATCTATCTATCAATTTTAACAAAACTAAATAATCATCATTTAAAAAATGGGATCATCAATCATCAATATAAAATATAAAATTTCTAGCAACCTCCATTACATATGCCATGTGAAGTTTGTTCATTCTTCCATTGTATAAGACCCACATCTAGCTAGTTATGACACAATTTGGAATTCAATAAAATAATAAAATCAAATCAAATCTAAGTCGGTTTTATATAACTATGGCACATCAATTAATCCACGTCGAGTTCTGATCGTTACCTTAAAATCTTCCTTTTTGCCAAAAGGATATTCATTAAAAGAAAAGATTATTAAATAAAACGGATAACGTAACTAACCAAATTAAGTCACCTTGATCAGTCGTCCCTTGTCTACTAGAAACAAAATACTCTTCCGGTCCTTAATATAAGACCCATTTAACTAATTTGATTAGATTAGGGAAGTTAGTTAAGTTAGTTAATTATAAGAAACGTGACATGTTTTTTCTAAAATACCATAATCATCCTTCTTAATACCCCCTCTTCCTCTTCTACTTGATTATAGTTGAGGAAGTATCTATAAAGGTAATTTAGAGAAAATTGATAAATATGAGAAATGGATTTTATATTTAGGACCAAAATCAACTCAATAATTACATCCTATATTAAGGACCGGAGGAGTAGCTAGATATAAGTGACAAAAGAGGGAATTGACTAAATAATTCCCAGCAGTGCTATTAATTTATTGCCAATATATTTGATATATTACTCCTTCTAATCTTAAATACTATGTTCAATCCTTAATATAAAATCTAGTTGATTAATTTGAAACGATTAAGAAAATTAGTTAAATAAGTTAATTATTTGTAATATATAGGTTTTGTCTTTTCCAAAATACCCTTATTAATCATGTGTATTAGCTAAAACTATCATTTGATAAACTTTTAACATGTACAATTACTACAAGAACTAATTTGAAAAAAAATAGATAAATATGAAGACTAAGTGAACAAAAAGTCTTATATTTAGAATCAAATTGAATGTCAAACTAACTCTTATATTAAAGACAGGAGGTAGTATTACAGCTTAATAACTAAAGAAAATTAATAAATGTTCTAGATCTTACGAGCATCCAAATCGGATCCCAAGTTTGTGGGTAATGAAGGCTATTTTATTAGTTTCAATTAAAACAAAGAAACTAGTCAATTAGCTGATGATTTAGATAGGAGTTGTGGACATTTACAGGTACAGAACAATTCCTCAGGGGCAAGAGAAAACCCCTCAAGGCTATTCACAATTTGGTTAACAAAATGGATCTCATGAAATTCAATAATGATTCTCAAATATGATGATCAGCAACAGTTTGAAGTTTATACATATCCCATTTGAGAGGGGTTTTGGCTGGATTTTTTTTTCTTTTTTTGGGGAAAAAAAGGTAAGTTGGGGCCAAAGGTTCATCAAGGTTAAAACATATTTTCAGGTTCAAAAAATACTTACAAGGACACTTGCAACTAGTAAAATCCTTATATCAGCAGGTGATTTTAAACTCGTGACTTGATAGATCAAATCTTAACTAGCTGTGCCAATCTTTGCTAGTAAATTGGTTAACTTATTGGGATATGAAATGTGTTTAGTCAACGCTGGCTGCTATTGCCTTGTTGAGTGAATTCATCAAAAGCTATGTTCTGTAGTTTCTAAACTCGATCGAAATAGTCCAGAGTAGAATAGCTATCTTCTGGGCAAAATTTTCTGTTATATTGATAGGCATGTCTTTGGTATTTAGCAATTCTAAAAATCTCTCGTCACTTAATATATATACTATCTCGGGATCTTTAATATAAGACTTAGTTGATTAATCTGGAAATATTAAAAAAATTAGTTAAGTTAGTTATTTGTAATAAATAAATGTTGTCTTTTCTAGAATACCCTTACTAATAATGTATATTAGTTAAATCTACCATTTGATGAAACCTTTAATACGTGCAACTACTGTAATCACCACTTAAAAAAATGGATAAATATAAAAGATAAAATGAATTAGGATCATATATTTGGGACTAAATTAAAATTTAAATTAGCTATTATATTAAGGATTGAAGGCAATGTGTGTGTGTGTGTATAGAACCCTTGTTGAGGTTATGAAGAGGGTTAAAGTATAAATTTATCTCAAAAATTTTTATTCAGAAGCGCTGAGTACCTAAAAATTTTTTTGGATACAAATTCGTTTTAAAAACTTAAAATAATAGTAATGTTGCTCCTTAATATTAAAAAGCTAATGTTAACCGTTAAAATAGAAACATTGACCATAATATTTTTAATAATAGGAGGCAATGTTGTTACAATTTTAAATCTTTGGTGCTAATTTGCACCCAAAAGGACTTTTAGATGTCTAACAATCTTGAGTGAAAATTTTTAGGATAAACTTTTTTTTTACTAGCAATTTTTAGGATAAATTTACACTTTAACCCTTATAAAAACTATAATCATTTGCAGTTTATTGAGATGTGAATAGCATCGGCAACAGAAGGGATTCGGGGAAAATACAATGGAATTGTTTATTATAAGTTACTGACGAGCCGTACAATCATGCAACTTTTTTTTTCCGTCTAAAATAAAACTCCCAAACACTAAGTTAATGCCTAATTATTGCAAGAAAAGTAAATGTTAACACACATCAAAATATTGCATTGAATTGTACTAAAATAAATCCAAGGTAAATTGATTTTTCAAACTGAAACAGAACATATCTGTGTCAAATGTAAATCCACATTGAGCTAATACTATACAATCAATATCATTAGGTCCAAATCATATATGACTTCTTGTTAATTTGAACTTTTTTCCTAAGTCAAAGTTGAAGGATTAATTTGTTAATTTTAAAATCTATAAAACAAAATTTGTAACTAATTTTGATTTAAATTACGGCTGTCCTATTTTCATAAAAATGGCAATTTAATTAGCATTATTATATCAATATAACCTAGCAAATGTATGGAAATGTGTATTATTCATAAATCATGAATAATGTAACTTATTTTTAAAATTTATATATGCAAAGCACAAATGTTGAGATCCTCAAATAATATTAAAAATATGTTATTTAATTTCATTTAATAATCGTTGGCGAAAAAAAAAAAATCATGTCATAATCCCCTTCTCTATTGTACATGACAAGCAAGAAAATTATTTTTCTCAAAAAGCACGTCTCATGTCTCTTTATTTATCTTTTCTCATTTTACTCAATCATTTTGAAAAATCTTCATCAAAATAATAATTTAGCCCCAAAAAAAAAGTAATACACGTCACTCTCTTTTTTTTTTTGGCTATTACAAATGATTTGACCATACATTCTCGCAAATTGAACCCTCTATGCTGATAAGTGCATACATCTAAAAAGAAAGTAACATGAAATGACGCATCTTAAAATCTATCATTATATTTTTGAAAATATCTTTCTAGATGTACTATGAAGATACCTCCTTAATGAATATATAGAAGATTCATATATTGAATTTCTAGGCGCTCATCATGTCCAGCACGATGCCAGTAATGGCCCATGGCAAAGAAGTACAAGCATAATGCACAGCAGCATGATGAATACCAAGACAAGAATAGCCCTGCAAGAACACAAAGTTACAGTAATTAATCAGATAATGAAAAATGGACTGCATTAAATTATGAGAAAATTGTAATAAGGTCCCACCTAAGAGAATTAAATACAAAATGATATCTTAAAATCATCATCATCAAATTAATCTAAAATTTCAAGAGAACTCATTCTAAGAGATTCTATTTGTTTAATTACCAAATTGCTCTCATCTTTTTTTTTTTAAGTATGCATTGATAACTAAAAGTACAGTTATTAACAACTTAATGTGTGACGATTAACAACTATTACGACAGATATTGACAACTCATGCATTACTATTCTTTCAGTTATTAATATATATTTTTTTTAAAAAATAAGGATAATTTAGTAATTAAACAAATAAAATATTTTGCAATGAGGTCTTTTGAGACTTCAGAGTAATTTGATAATTACAAAAAAAAATTTATATTTATTTTTCTTGGGTGGAACTTTATTGCAATTTTCTGTTAAATTATTAACCGAAACACTAGTTTAAAAGAGTAATATTTAAATCAAAGAAGTAGTAACCCATTAGTAAATATAACATTCATGTATAAATCACATATATTGCAATTCTTCTAAGATTTTATCAGATCTAATAAAATCACAGATTTTTTTAATAAATTTTTTGTTTTATATTTTAAACCAATTGTACAACCAATTTAAAAAATACCAGACTTTTTAAACTGTTTTTTTTTACGCCAAACCTAACTCCCATTTAAAAGCCAAATTTCAATCTTTTTAAAAGACTTTTTTTTTCCTAATAGTAAAAATAGAGTTATCAATGTTGGCAATACCTGCAAAAATAATAAAAATATGGTTCGAGTTGTATCTAAGGACACTGTCCTTAAAATTATTCTGCCACATAGGTTAGAATGAAAGGCGGCACTCTTCAGAATTAAATGAACCTTTTCTGCATAGAGTAAGGTGATAGAACAACAGAAATTTAAAACTCACAGGAAGAGAGAGAAGATAAGAGCTCAGGAATAGAACTCAATACTCTTTGACCATGCACCACGTATTGCCTTTTATAGGCAGATAATGTGTGACCATTGGGTTGCCATATGGTGATTAAAGATGGTTTTAATGACAATTGAAAGGTTGGTTTTTAAACAATTAATTAAGTTGAATTAAAAGATTTTACCGCCATTGAATATGGTTTATGAAATGATAAAACCAACTAATTAAGACACATAAATGCTTCAACGGTCATCTCTAACAGTCAGTTTTTAAAACTCATCTTCTCAGTCATTTTATTAACTCAAGCTCACATCTTAATAAACACTAAGGTTTTCTCAATCTTAAGTAATATGGGACTTCTTTTGACACAATCACCCACTAAAACTCCAACAAATCAAAACACAAATATGACATGCTACTATTTTCTAAACTCAAATAAACATCATTTCAGATGCAACCAACTTGTCTAAAGCTTTTGACCAAACTCGTGAAGCGACCAGTTCCCTGGCATATAATTGGGCAACCCATGTTGAGTTTTAATACCATGGTTGTTAGCTAAGTCAAGGAACCCAATTTTTTTTTTTCCCGCAAAAGAAAAATGTCTAGACCGGCACACAAATTTAACTAATAATAAGCCATAATCCAAAATGGCATATAACTAAACTAGAATTTGGACCCTAATTAAGCTTTTCGCGAAGTTTGTTACAAAATTCTAGATAAATCATATTATCCATGACTAATGGTATAAAGATAAAGATTTAATTGGTGGGGAATGATTGAAAATCAAAGATAAATCAACAAGCAGGTGGAATAGTTGATGATGCAACTTCATTATATTGTTGGGCTAAATCAAAATATTATTATTTTTTTCATAGATATGAAGTAATTATAATATTAGAATTGCTTACTTAAGCCTGAAATTTCTCCACCAAAGAGTATTATTGTAACGACGAGACTGCCTTTTGAAACGAATGGCATTTCCTTGCATTGCTGAAGTTTTGTCAACAAGCAGAGCCAAACGGTCTCCTCTCTCCAATACTTTCTCTATGTTGTCGATCATAACACTTCGTACCTATATAGTGTAATCACTTACATCACATTAATTAACAACTTTATTATTTAATTTTCACAAACCATATATATATCATAGGCTAAAGCTCAAGTTTGAGATGAACTGTGATGAGAACTTAAGTCCCCTCTGCTTATTGAGAATCAAAAGTAAGAATTGTGATGGAGATTGAAAAAACCCATTAAAAACGTGTGGCATTCTCTAATCCCACATGTTGCAGGGGTTTGTTCAATTTTAAGTAACAATCAATCTCTCATGCTAAATATCTTTTAATGGCTTTTCTTATTTCAATTTTAAGCTTTACCTCTCATTTTTAATACTTCATACCAGACCCGCTTTTCACATGATATTAGTCAAGTGGGAGGAGAGTTCCGCCTGACAAGAGGGTCGGAAAGAGTAAGTGAGGTCCTACATGTTGTTCGACTTTCAAGTCGTCTGATGGGTCCATATCAAAATGTGTAATTTATTCGCAACTTATGAATAATGTGAAATGTTATAAGGCCAGTTTTAGTGGGAATTGAAGGGAAATACTTACTTGAGTCATCTCGCCCTTGAGACGATTTAACCTATCAGCATTAGGGTCAGTGGAATAGTAATCCATTCGCTGGGCGAGGGCTCTGCAGAATTCATCGTTCATGGCGTAAGCTGGAGCTGATAGAATGGCCCTCCCATATGTCTTCACAAACTTCTTGTGAATATCTTCCAGAAATGCAAATGGAATCCTTCCTGCTTCAAACGGATTTGTCAGTCAAAAGTTAAAAAAAGAAAAAGAAAAAAAAAGAAAGAACAAATATTCGTAAGAGTCCAATTTATAGTGTAGTTCATTAAAATTTCATCCGAGGCACAATACCCGCGTTATTTATACAAGAATAATACTATCTTCAGTACTAAATATAGAAGTTAGTTGAAGATTCAACTTGGTTCTAAATATAAGACCCTAATCTATTTTGCTTCCCATATTTATGATTTTCCTCAAAGTAGTGTGCATGATGATTACACATGTTAAAAGGTCTCCATTCCAATGCAAATGATCAATAAGAATATTTTAAGAAAAATAACACCTATCTATTATAAATAACTAATCAATAACACATATTTATTACAAATAATTAACTAAACTAATTTTCTTAATATTCTCCAATTATTATTTTTTTGGCCCAGAATTAATATTTACCAATTAGTTATTTTGGCCCAGAATTAATATTTACCAATTAGTTATTTAGGTTTTATAGGAAGTACAAGAGCTAGTATGAGGACAGTTGTTTTAAGCCAAAATCTAGGGAATAAACCATAATTGAAGAAAAGTTCAAAAAGTAAAAAAGTTATATTATCCCAAAACAAAAGGAAATCAAAGAAGGGGACATTAAGCTTACTTCCAAAAGCGTCATCGGCCATGCAAAGCACAACGAGGCCATCGGTTCTTTTAACATGAAAAACGTATCGATCATGCGAATACGAGACATTACTATCTTCATTATCATTATTTTTATTTTTATTATGAATCTTATCCAATATCTGTTTGGCTATGACGCTGGCATTGCTCTGAGGAGACGCACTGAACTCAGCCAAAACGACGAGACCCCTCGCCACCATTCCATACAGTATCCCCATCTGATAATTCCTCTTCTGCTGCTTTCTTCAACCGCGAGGGAGTCGTCGTCGTTCGTGAATTTCAACGAGCACGACGACGTCCTCCTCGACGAAGACAAAGGAATAATGATGATTGGGAGTCCCATTTTGATTTGGGTGTTCTGTTTTTGGGAAGTACGGCAGAGAAGGATTAACGAAACCCAATGATCTTTTTGGCTTCTTAGCTTGGTTCTTTCTTTTGTTAGGCTCTACGGATATAGAAAATCCCAGCAAAACCAACTATTATATAGCAAATGGAAAATGGATGGACAACATCTAGGATAAATTAACGATACTACGTCTGGTCCTTAATATAAAAAATAGTTTGACTTTTAATTTAATTCTAAATATAAGATCTCAATTCACTTTGTCTTTTATATTTATCTATTTTTTTTCAAAGTACTCTTTATAGTAGTTGTACATGTTAAAATATCATTTGCTAATACACATGATTAGCAAGGGTATTAATATCTATTGATTAAAAATAACTAACCCGACTAATTTTTTTAATCTATACATATTAGTTAATTAGCTCTTATATTGAGGATTGAAGGCATTATATATGATCACAATATATATAGTTATAATTTCAAAACTGTTGGGTTTTAGGTGAGCGCGCAATGGAACGATAATGAAAATTTTTGCCAAAACCTTCCAAAGGATCCATCAGCTTTTGCTTAAATTTGAGCGCAAGATCTATCCAATCTCTAAGTTTTCGTTTGGTGGCACAAATCATTGCTTTTTGAACAAACACCCTACCGGTATCCACACAAATGGATCCCAAACCACAACTAGATCTTGCTATCCAGGAAGGCAACACTAATTTTCCTAAATTAAATAATAAATTATATGCGAATTTTATATATTAAAGATATAAAATTCATCCACGACCACCATAGAAGAGAAATAGTATAATGTCTACATCACGTTTCACTATATATTAAAGAAACATGCAAACAATATAATAAATAAATATGCAATAAAACTCGTTTCATTATGTTTTTTTGATACAACTGGTTTCATTAAGTTAAATAGTATAATGTCTACATCCTATTATTAGTTCAGGGCACAATCTCCAACAAAAACAATTAACAAAGATGTGGAGTTAGTAAACCCTAGGGCTGTTCACAGGACGGAACGGGACCGGGACGGACCCGTCCAGGTCCCGTCCTGATGAATAGTAACGGGACAAGAAATTTGTCCCGTGTCCCGTCCCGTCCCGATATTGTCCCGGTCCCGACCGGGACGGGATGGAACCGGGACATCCCGGTACCTTTCTTTTTTTTTTGGAAAAACGCTGTGAGCTTCTGAGAAATATTGTGGGCCTTTTAAAAAAATGCTGTGGGCCTCTTAAAAATGCTGTGGGCCTTTTAATAGGAGGTTTTAAATGATCTGGGCCTTCAATAGGAGATATATTTCAGTAGTGTTTGTGACAGAGTTCATCTTTGTTCACAAAGAGAAGTTCTTCAAAATGATCATAAAGGTTCAATTAGCTTTCAAGAATTTATTGTAAAATTTTTGTACAGTTTTAATAGCATCATCTAGAAATCAAACACTGAATCTACAATTATATATATTAATATTACTACTTCACAAACCATCAACCGAATGATACATACAAATTATTAAAGAATTCAACAACCAGAAAAAATCAGAGAACTAGCGAATGAGGCAAATTAAATCGTGGGTTTTACTCATTTCACAAAAGATTTTCTTTTCTCTATGTCGTTTGTGAAGAATATCAGACAAATCCCAATCAGCCAAAGTCCATATTCATACAAAGAAAGCAGAAATCTCGTGCTGGATATTAAGATGAAATCAACAAGCATGGATGAAAACTCACAGGTATGAGAAACAGAGAAAGCAGCAATCGAATGGTTGGAGACGAGATGAGGCTAGTCTGCAATCTACCCGACGCCGACGATGGACTGGCGGCTGGAGAGAAGCTGCTAAGGTTGCGACTTCAATGGACTAGGGACCGTGACTCTGTGAGTGAAGAGCTGAAGCCGAGACAAGAGAGGCAGAGTGAGTATAGCCGAGTAGTTGACGGCCTCTTTCGCACTTCGCAGATCAGACAATAGCCGAGAGCGGAGACTGAGACTCTGAGAGGTGACTGCCGACTGGTGAGAGTGCGAGACACCGGACACGGTTCATTGCTCCATCGGCCGTCGCTGTCTGAAATCCGAAGGGAACGAAAGTGAAGGCAGAGACTGGAGAGACCGAGAGAGGCAGAGATGGTCGGGTTAGATACTCAGAAATCAGAATGACAGAATCTCAGATGGTTTGGGGGGGGCTTAGGGCTTCCGCCTTCCGGTTCATATTTTATTTTTTTTTAACTTTTTAACATATAATATATAAATATAATATAAGATATTTAAAAAAAAAAATATCGGGACGGGACCGGGACGGGACGACCCCGTCCCGGTCCTATTTTTGTCCCATCCCGGTTTGTCCCATTCCAAAAAATTTCGGGACGGATCCGTCCCGTTTCAATAAGACCGGGACCGGGACGGGTCAAGTATGAACACCCCTAGTAAACCCCAATATTTTTTTTCCCTTAATGCTAATTGCTCTGTGTGTGTGTGTGTGTGTGTGTTCGCATATTAAGATGTCCAAAATTTGTTCATTGTGATATTCTCTTGCCATATGAGCAAAGTGTGAAACACTGCCCACCCGGAATTGGTAGTGAAGGAGATTATTTTGGATCTCTTTCAATTCTCAACTATGGCTTAATTTCTCCTCGATCCACTTGGCAAGATGTGTCGTTTATGCTTAGGAATGGTTTCTAATGCGTTTTTCTTCTTGTAGCTCTCAATCCCTTAGTCTAACTTATGACTTTTATTGCCCCTCTCCGGGCAATTGGAACTCATTTTACGAGAAATTCCTCAACTAAACGAATTCGATTCCTATAACATGTGATAAAAGACATCTTATTAAGAGAAAAAACTCCTTGAACTTATAAATTCCACAACACTTATAAAATTCATCAGTGTGGGACACATAACAAGGTGGTTAATAATAGTTTCATGAGAAAAAAATTCAACAAAAAGTCAAAAACCGTGTTCTCTTTAGTGAACTGAGCTATGGAAACTGAGAGAGAATAACAATGATGTATAATTGGAGTAGTATCTTTTATGCCATAAATATATGTATTCACTTGTACATGTGCATATTGCCCCAAAACAAAAGATCTCTAAGTCCGTTGTTGATAACCCTCATTCCTCATGAATATAAATAAGTTAATTAAGGTGTAAATTTGCTCTAGAAAGTATGCTACAAATTTATGTGTGCCCTTGTATATGTGCGTGTTGCCTCAAAACAAAAGGATCTATGAGTCCGTTGTTGATGACACACATTCCTAGTAAATATAAATGAGTTAAGGTATAAATTTACTTCAAAAATTTTCATTTAGAAGTAAAATAATATTGGCCTAAAAGTTTTTTTGGGTTTACGGTTTTCCCGAAAGTGTTAATATTAATGGAGCAATGTTGTCCTTCACAGTTAAAAATGTCAATAGCCATCAATGTCAACATTTTAGGGCTAATTTTAATAACAGAGTGAGATAAGATTGCTATGTTTGAGGACTTTCTGAGTGACATTTGTAACACCTCACATAATTATATCAATATATTCGATAAAATATTTAATTTAAAAGTCCATACATATTTTTAATACTGCAAATAAGTCAAAATTTCAAAACATTTCTAACATAACTTAACAACATAAACTATTGAAGTCTTATAGTCATGGCAAATAAAAATATAACATAGCATGTGCTTGAGAAGCACAAAAGCCTTCACGGCTCACTCCGCTGGTGCCTTCCCTTGATTCCTACTAGATCCTTCGCCTGAAAATTGTTAATATAGGGGGTGAGATCAAACGTCTCAGTAACTACTGAAATTCTAACCTATACAAGCAAATCATATATGATAAACCAAAAATCTGTTTATTGGTCTGTATATATGTATACATTAAAAATCACAGATTTGATACATTCAATTCAATTTCATTTTTCTTTTTCAATATATCCAAAAATAATGCAATATGCTGCCTCCCTTATATCACCGTCCACCCTTATACCGCTGACTGGAGCCATAGGCTAACACATAGTCCGATAGGAACTAATCCATTTTACTGAATTATTCCAAGCTCACCGATACAAGAGATATATCCGGCCAAAGATATAGAGCTCAAGCTCGGACTATGGCTCCCCTCCTTTGTGAATAGGGAGGTGTCACATGTCCCACAGCTCCAATGAATTCCCGGCCAAAGGAAAACATGGAAGAAGGGGCCCTGACAAGTGCCATCCACTGTGCACCGAGTGATGGCATACCACGTGGTAATTTTATATCCATACAATCTCCTTCTATCCTTAGCCCAACAATGCATGTCAGATGCCAATAATATTACATCATAAATACGTCAGCAAATATATTAAAAATAAGATAGCAATAAAACTTATATACCACTTAATAACAACTCATGACAATTCCATAGCCATCAATATATTTAAATATTAATAATAATTAATAGCAATAAATCTTAACAAAATCAAATAACATTCCAAAACATTTATTTGAAAAATCACAATATTATATTTCAATATATAAAAATATAGTAAATTCATAATACAATCATACACAATTCACATGTACAAGAAAGAATTTTCAGAGTTACCTGGTATTCTTTAGCTTACAAATATTCACACAAAGATTACTCCAAAATTCTCAAGTCTACAAGATTGCACATAAATATTTATTAATATAAACTCAAAACTATTCCAAAGCTACTCTAAAATTCTAAGACTACCCTCTAAATCAAAATTACATAAATATATTAACTCTCCCAAATCTAGGCATTTATAATAGATATTATTTTGAAAAATAATTTACATATAAGGCTATTTAAATTTAACAAAAGTATATATATATTTTTAATTATAAACAAACTGTCGTTTTATTTAATTTCACAAAATTCTCAATTTATAATTTTTCAAGCCTTCAAAAATTATTTCAAAAATATATATTTAACTTATTCAATATTTAAACCGATTAAAACCTCAATAATATATTAAATAACTCAAATAAATTATTTAACTCAAATTTAATCGGTAAAAACATATTACAAGTCTAAATAACAAACTTTTCAACTAAAATCTTAGTTTAAAATTCTCAAAATAATCATTAAACAAAAATAAACCGATTAAAATTCCTTAATAATGGATCTTTAAATTTCTACGGTCATATATTGTCAAAACTCTATATTTACTCTATACCCAAACAGTAAAATTTTCTCTAAACATTATAATGATTAATAATTTAAAGTTCTAAATATATAGGAAATACTCATAAAGAAAATATGGTAAAAAGAAGTATATTTATGTACCTAAATGATCCCCAAAACTTGTCAGGTGCTCTGCAACTTAGCTTTCTCTCTCTTTCCCTCTTTGCTTCTCACTCTCTTCTCTCTTCCTTTGATCTCTCTTCCTCCTCCGTCTCCTCTCCCCCTCTTTTAAACTCACTCCTCCCAACTTCCAACTATCCCTCCTCCCATTTTCTTCATTCATTTATTGTTTTTCTCCAAATTCTTCCTTCATCCGTTCCTTTTCTTTCTTTTTCTTGCTCCATTTAATACTCCTCCCTTCTTTTCAACTTACATCACTCCCTTCCCCCATCTTTTCCCTTCTTAGTAAACCCCCCCCCAATTTTCAACTCTCCGTGGAAAAGGGGGGTTGTTTTTTTTTATAATAAAATATTATATATATATTTTGATTTGCAATTTTTTTTTAAAAAAAAGTATGTTACAACATTAAACCAAAAAAACAAAATTTTAGGGGCAGCATTAGTCCTAAGCAAAAACTTTCATAACAAACTTGCACCTTAACCCAAATGTAAACTATATATGCATCTACTCCTTCAAAGTTCAAAATCCAAAGAATTAATGTGCGAGATTGTAGCCAGTTTCATGTAGAGACTATCTCTTGCAACTTAAGATGTATGTGCCAAAGCTTTGTAGAACCAAGAATTTGCAAATTCATGGTAGCCATACCCGGAGAGCATCATCCAAGGTATTCTTCATTCTTAATTAATCTTGTAGTTCTACAACAACCAGTCACGAAAAAGGAATTAATTCTCCCAAAGCGACTTCTTAACCAAAATGCTTCCATAACTACTTTTAACCACTCTTAAGCACTCACGGATCATATGTAATGTTGTTATTTTGATTTAGGCATAGCATCATCTTATTTTATTACTTTAATGGCTGAGCATTAGATAATGCTGGATTTCGTATGTATTAGAATAAAATTGCTTAGATGATTTTATAAACCTCCTTAACCGACTTATGGCTACTTCTTCCAGATTACATTATGTTTTTAAACCTGTTTAAGACGGGTTTATTATTCTATGCTTTGATCAGATTGCCAAGTACATACTAATGTACTCTTTCTACAATATATTACTTTTGATTCTAAATATAAGAGTCCATTAAAAATTCAATTTGGTCTTAAACATAAGACGTAATTCGTTTTGTGTCTCATATTTAATTTATTCTTTTTTTTTCCAAAGCAATCCCCATAATAATTACACACGTTAAAGAATTTTTATTCTAATACACATAATTAACAAAGATGTTTCAAAGAAAACAAACTTCTTTATTACAAATAATTAACTTAACTAATTTTTTTAGTACTCATAAATTAATTATCTGAGTCTTATATATTAAAGAGCGGAATTAGCAGAAGAGACTAGGTCTAATTTTTGCCAATGATTTTAATTTTAATTGTATTTTATTTTTAAATTTTTTGGGAGTCGCATCTATATTGTTCACGTGATATGCCTTGTAAAGTAATAATTTTGAGTAGCTTGGCATGTTTCGTTTGTTAGCTGCCACCATATTCTTTCACTTTGCATCGCTTTTTCTTGTGCGCTTTCGCTAGCTTCCGTAACAACTTCACTGTCCCACGGTTGGCTCCCTCGTGAACCCCCCCCCCCAAAAAAAACATTTAAAATAAAAATAATTTTATATTGGGATAATGACATATATAATCAAAAACACCGAAATATGAGAATTTTGAAATATCCCACAAAATAGTTTAATTCATATGAAATCCTTATCAGTTTTCTGAAATTATTTTTTTTAAAAGACCTAATCATTCTCATACACACACATAACTTTGGAGCTCCCATTGGCCTCAGCCATATTGTAGTGACCAAAACTCCTATGCCAGCCAAGCGTTGGTGCTTGGAGCAATTTTGGGCAAGAGTTGGTCAAGGTGGGATTTCACCCCATCGGAGTTTTTGTTGTTGTTAAGTACAAGTTTATTGGAGACAATTTTGTTTGAGGTATTATCGGGTACTAAATGTAGGTATACGTTCCAGCAGGGATTTCAATCTTGATTTGCTGTATTGTGTGCGATTCGCTCCTTTTGTTAGACTCCAACCTATTGGTCCCACCAGAGTTTTTATATTTGAGGGCAATTAGATCATTTTTAGAAGAATAATTTTAAGATAGTTCCTAAAGATTTTACAGGAATTAAAGCATTTTGAGGGACTATTTTAGAATTTTCATATTTTTGAGGTCCTTATACGTCTTTCTTCTTTTTATACTTGATATTAATGAGTAATATTTTGTTAATCTCACTGTTTTTATCTAAACATGTGAATATATTTTTTATATTTACAGAAATAATGTTTTGTCTAAGAAAGATTTATGAATAATTAAAAGCACAAAGATATGGCAATATGGCATGGGTTCCCAAGATTTCTTAAAAAATATGTGTGCAGGATGTTTCCAATTACATGGCCTTCCTCCACACACACGTATTTCAGTATTTGTATATGCAGCTTCCTAAAAATTAGCGTGTGGGTTAATTTAATTTTCTTTCTCAAAAATTAATTTATTTTTCTAATTTTACATAAAAGTAAACAAAATTTGAATATTTTGAGCTCTATTCAAATACACAAGATCCACTTTATTTCAATCTAATTTCATGAAATCTAATTTAATCTTTAAAATAATACTAGTATGTTTGTTTGGAATGACGATATGATCATTTAAAAATACCTTAATATAAGTAGCTCCAAACAAACCATTAGAGTGTTATATGTATTAGTTAAGCCTCACCTTATTATATCTATACGGCACAAAGGTATATATTATATGTGACTTCAGATTTCTTGCTCATCAAATGTCGTATTGTTAGGTAGTTTGAAATATACGTGTGAATGTGTATAAACTTTTAAAAAAAATTATTGAGCTGGGCATCACCACCAACATTTCAGTTCCCGACAATTGCTATATATCTCAGACACCCCCCTTCACTTAAATCCATATACAAACTTCCAGAGTAGTCTCTCACTCAAACTTCTCCTTCTCCTAATTCCACTCAGAGAGAGAGAGAGAGAGAGAGAGAGAGAGAGAGACCCATAGAAACACTATAATGGAGATCTCCGGCAAGATTTACGCTTCCCTCATTATCTGCATGCTCGTCATCTCCTCCTCTGTAACTCCATCTCTAAGCTGCACCTCCTGTAGGCACAAGCCTCCAAAGAAGCACAAGCCCAAGCCTAAGCTCCCACCGCCGCTGCTTCCTCCGGCGCCGCCTGCGGAGGCGACGTGCCCGGTGGACACGGTCAAGCTGGGGGCGTGCGTGGATCTGCTGGGAGGGATTGTCCACGTGGGAATAGGGGACCCAGTGGTGAACCAGTGCTGCCCGGTGATTCAAGGGCTGGTAGACCTGGAGGCCGCCGTGTGTCTGTGTACGACGCTGAAACTGAAGCTTCTGAATCTAAACATATATGTGCCTCTCGCTCTTCAGCTTCTCATCACTTGTGGCAAGATGCCTCCTCCTGGTTACACTTGCTCACTCTGATCTCCCCCCCTTTAAACGACGCCGTTTATCAGGTAAATCAGCTCTGTCTTCATTTCTTCTCTCTCTCTCTCTCTCTCTCAGGTTGAAGACTCCTCTGTGCTTGCATTCTCAAGCTTCTATTTTTATTTCTTTCACAAAATTGACACAAACGTAATTAATTAAGTTTTATATTTCATTTTTATAATTATCGTTTTTTATATTTTTTAAATAGGAAAAATGGGGAAAAGGTCTTTCCATACCAATAAAATTATTATTAAGGGAAACCTTTCCCCAATTTTCCCTTTTAAATATTCTACATATATATATATGGGAGAATCATATAAAAAGAAGTTTGAAATTATCAAATCTCAAATAAGTAATTCCTACCAAAATGTGTTGTTATTCTGTATTTGCAAATTAAGTGTTGCCAAAATGTGAAAATCCAACCTAATTTAAAATTTAGTAATTTCAAACTTCTTTTTATAGATTCTACATATATATATATATAGACATAAATGTAAAACTTGAAATTTTGTATTAATGAATTTTTTTTAGAAATTAAAAAAATTTGATAAGAATGTAAGTTACGCATGCATTCTAAACAAAAGAACAAAAGGCATATATTTTATTTTGTTGTATTATTATTTCGTTTTTTAAAATTATGTTCAATTATTTATATTTTTATTACTACCAATTATCTGAATTTTGTTATAATGGTTAGCTCAAGTTTCTGCTAGCAAATTATGAAAATATTCATGTGAGAAATTCGAATGTATTTTAAAACTTCCAAACATCTTTGATTTAGAATCTTGGATTGATATAAAAGTCACAACTTTATTTTCTTTTTGTTTACGCCTTCTTCCAAGGTTTAAGTCTCAGTTCCAAATTCCTACTAGTGAGTAGTGACAACTACTTTAAATATGATAGATAAAAGACGCCTGATCTAAAATTTTTAAAGAGCAAGTTCCATTGTTGGAAACAATTTTTTTTCTTTTTTTTTTCTAATTGGCATGGATATTAATTGTACATCCCTTCTAAAGATTTAGTTTATATATAAATAATTAAAAAAAATTTTGTCAAGAGAGGATTTATTTGCCTTAAAATCGTTAGTCATTTAATTTAACTTGTTTCCTACTTTCCTTAACAAATTTGAACAACAATATGTTGTTTTAGCTGAACAAATTTTAACAAAAATATGTTAGATACACACACAAAAATGTAACATGTCATTTTCAAGGGTCTAAGCCTCTAAAATATCCTCTTGGACCAAATATTAACACGGCGTTGATCACTTTTCCTTTTTTATATATATAGTCTAATTCTTTTTTTTGGGTCAGAATATAGTCTAATTCATTTTCGTTAGCAAAAAAAAAAAAAACAAAGAAGTCGAATTCATTTTCTTTTTTAATTGAACAATTTGTTTTCCACTTTATCTTACATTTTTCTTTGTGGGTACACTCATAAATGCACTTTCGCTCATAGAATATTACATGCTTATAATAATCTGATAACGACCTCACATGTATTATTGTTATACAAATCAGCTCGTGACTCAGAAATTTATTCTTGATTTTTTTTTACCTAAAAAGGAACTTGCCCTTGATATCAGTTAAATTGTAGTAGGCCCTTGAATCTTATTGCCTCATGTCCTAATTATAAAACCTTGTTTGTAATTTATAAATGAGATCTTATAATTATGATCAGAGGTAGTATTTGTAAGTTTTAAATTTGAAGAGGTGCGTAGTTCAATGTATAAGCTTCTATTTAAGTTTGTCTCAACGTTTAATTTTTATTTTATTTTATCCTGAATTATTTATTCTCTCTCATTTGTCACATTGCATCTCATTATATTTCTTTGTACATTTTCTTTCATCATTTTTCTCATTTATTATAATAATATATTTAAAAACAAAAATATATTTATTATCTATTTATTGTTTTTAACTAATTTTAACTGGTTATTCGTTATATCATAAATTAGTCATTATAAGTTAAAGAGATTATTAATAATATTTTGTCTCTTTTCTTTTCACATGTGGTTGTCTTGTTCCTCAGTGATTATGAATGCTTGGCATCCCTGACAAAGAGTGTGTGTGTACAATATATATATATATATATCTATATATGTATATATAAAATATAGAGCGCAACATGATTGATTCTTATATACACGCACATATCATAATGCCTTTAACTAAATAGTAAGAATACAGAATAGTGCACCCGTGAACTCCAAGCCCTTGTCTTATTCAATCCAAGAATGCATGTGTTGATGTGCGAATTGGCTTCGTGCTTATCACTTTAATTTGAACTCCTTGACATTATTATAATTGAATCCCTAAATTTAATAGTATCTTACCACTTTTACAAATTTTAATAGTTGTTTATTTCAAAAAAGGTATACAGCTTAAACTAAAATTAATTTTTTAAGTTGACCTTTTTTTAAAAAATTACTATTTAAAAATTATAGATTTAAATCTTAAAATCTAGATAATCTAAATTATTATAGGTAAAGTACTCTCGAATGTCATGATATTATTTACCCATTCTATTCAGCATCTTAATCTTATTTATGATGCATCTATTATTCTCATATTATTTTTCTAATGCTTTCACCATTTTAATTTTTTTTTATAATGTATTCTGTACCTTAAGCTATAAATAAAATTAAGGGTGTTAAATGTAACTTGAAAATAATATCAGAAAGTGTTGGATGAAAAAAAAAATCCTTCTTGTTAGATACATTAGTTTTGAATAATAAAACAGTGGATCCAATTATTGTTTAGGCATTTCGAAATTCGGATTTCTTGTTGACTATTACTGACACCATAATCTGCCAATGCTTTGCAGCTGCCTCCATGGTCTCTTATGGGGTATCAACAGAATCCGCATGAAACGACGTCGCTACCAATTCCCTCGCTTCTCTCTTCTATCGTATGTTGGAGTACGGAATTGCTGATGTTTAGCTATTATTATTAATCATTTAATTAAATTTTGTAAACATTTCGTTTTCAGCTAGTGTGAATTTTATGTTGCATCAATTTTTGAAAAAATGAATCATACTGTTTATGACTCATGAATAGTATGGTTGATAGAATTTATATTTCTTTTTCCCCCTTTTTTAGAGTGAAATTTTGATTGATTGTGACGGATAATAGATAATACATGTAATTCATTGGATTGATATTGTGAGTGCAGTTTTTTTTTTCTTTTAATTTTTGTAACCATTTTTTTCTAATAAGCCCAAAACCTGTCTAATTCTCTAAAAACGATTTACAACTCAAATACATGGCAGCTTAATTTTGGTCTAACTCATCTCAATGAAAATGATTTTTATATCCAAAGTGAATTACTAACAAGTTTGGTTGATAATCCAACCAATTGGATCCACTTCATGAATCATTGATTATTTGCTTCCCTCTTTTTGTCCATGAGTATGTGAAACTTTTAGGATGTAAATGTTAAGTTCTATAAACAAGTAGTCCTCAATTAAACGATAATCATAATAACACTACTTTTAATTTTTAATATAAGAACTAGTTTAACATTTAATTTGATTTTAAATATAAGATTCTAATTCACTTTGTTTATCATATTTATTAATTTTTTAAGGTAGTCTTTGTAATAATCCTACATGTTAAATGTTTTATTAAATAAAAGTTTCAAGTAATACACATGATTAGTAAGGTTATTTTAGATAAGGCAACATATATTTGTTATAAATAAGTAATTTAACTAACTTTTTTAATTATTTAAATTAATCAATTAACTTTTATATTTAAAAAATATACATGTTAATAAATAGAAATTATGGGGAGAGGGAGGGCCCCCGGCTTCGGTATTTCGGTGGGCTCACACGAGCTCTGAGAGCGTTGTATTCTGATCAGAACAAGACAGTGATGGTGAGAGTCACGAGCGAGTTCGTTCACGACCTTGTCCCACTCCAAGTTACTCTTGTTTGTTTATTTTGGATATCTTTAAAAAAAAATTCTACCAAACAAAATTCTTCTCAAAGATTGGGTGTTAAATATTACTAAAAAAAATTAATAGCAGAGTATTAGATACACGGAAAAAAATGTGAAGTGTTAGATGCATCATACAAAAAATCATGGTATTGGATGTACTTAACAAATAGGAAAAATTAATTTTTTAGTTTTTAAAGTTTTGACTTGCTTAAAATTTAGTCACTCAATTATGACTTGTTATGACTCGATCCCTAAAAGTTTAACTTGTTTAAAACTCAGTTCCTCATCTTTTTTATTTTTAATAATTTTGTCGTTACATCTATAACCCATGCCAAGTCATCACTGAGCCATCCTATATGGAAAAAATACAGTTACAAATTCTTTTGTGGCTTTCCAGCTCCGCTGTCCATGTGAATTTGACAAAACAATTGGAAAAAAAATAAAAAGAAAGCTTCAGATTTACCACAAACTCAGACTGGAGATAAAGTATGAACGGAGACCTCACTCTCCCTCACTTGACTCCTTTCCTCTCCTCGGCAATCATGATAAATCTGAAGCTTTATTCTTTTTTCAATTGTACATTTTGTCAAATTCACATGGAGAGCGGAACTGGAAAGCCGCAAAAAAAATTTGTAACTGTATTTTTTTTCATGTAGGATGGCTTAGTGATGACTTGGCATGGGTTATAGATGATAAGGACAAAATTATTAAAAATAAAAAAGATGAAGGATTGAGTTTTAAGCAAGTTCAACTTTTAAGGATTGAGTCATAACGAGTTATAGTTAAGCGACTAAGTTTTAAGCAAATCAAAACTTTGAAGACTAAAATATTAATTTTTTCTAAAAAATAAGATCACGGTGTTAGATATATATATATATATTTACATTTTATTTTTTATAGTATACAATTATGTAAGATAAGTTAAGTTAGACCCACGCTGAGTTAAATTAAATATCTTATATTCATTTATTGTTGCAAATATGTAAATATAGAATTGAGTAAAATACACTAATTATCTTTCTATTTTATTTCAATTACAGAAACATTCTTTTGTTTTGAAAACGTATATAAATATCTTTTACAATTAAAATATATGTTACATAAATATCTCTCTTATATTTAAAATTCCATTTCCATCCATTCAAACCGTTAGTTGACCATTAAATTTGACTTTAAATTATTTTTTTAATCAAAATGACCCTTTTTAACTTAATAATTATTTAGACATTTATATGTTCTAAAAAATATTTTTTATAAAATAAAAAAATAATTCCAATACATATATTTTTAAAATTTTTAATATGTTATACATTTCTTTATCTAAATCATAAAATTTTATAATTTTAATATTTTGTCACATTTATTAGAAATTATTTACTTTAATTTCTTTTAAATTGTAAAAACATATTTCAAATACATAGTTTTTGTTTATCATAAAATTTAAATGATATAAGTTTGAAAGATTTTATAAATTATTTAAATTTATAATTCAAAGCTTTTAAACACATCTTTGTTACAAAAATTTATAAACATATTTAGTAAAGTATATATATTTAATGAAAAAATTAGTTAAGTTTTTAATTAAATCTTTTATGTTTGTCTTAATTGAATGAAATTCATGTAACTTAAAAATATAATTTAGGAATTTACTAGAATGAAGGGTAAAATAATAAATAAAATTTATTTTAATGTAAATTTCAGTTAAAAATAATATTTTTGGAATATTCCTAATAATGTTAACTAGTTAGACAAAACTGTATATTTTTAAAATAGAAGGGAGATCTGAGTAATTGATGCAAACTAGAAGGGTAGTCAGAGTATTTTACAATATATAATTATGTATAAATTACACATGATATTTTCGCATGTATCACTTTTTCTAAAAAAATTTCTTTAAATATATTATCCATTTGTTTCTTTATAAAAAATAAAAATCAAACTTCTTTACCAAAATTATTATTATTAAAAATAAAATTTTGAAAAGACTTTATATAAGTATTGAAAGTACAAAAAAATATTCATTATTTTCTAAATTTAATGATATGTTATTAGAATTTTTCAAGTCAGATTATGATGGTTTGAATAAAAAATTTAATAATGTCATTTTCAAATTCTAAGAACAACTGATGTCTTAAGAAATAATTAAGAAATTAATTTTCTGTAAATGTTTAGGACTTCACAAGTAAATTTTTTATAATACCTTTCCAAAGGAAAATTGGCTCTTATATGTGTTTTTGTGATTACATAGGAAGGTTAGGACGTAATTCAAGTGGATCATTGAGACATTGACAATGACGTGTTTATTTGAAGGAATATTTTTAGTTCGTGCTTAATAAATGGAAAATTATTATAATAAAAAAGATGTACACCTAAATGATCTAATAGCCCCAGACGACTCAGATTTATTGAAGGTGTATACGACTTTTCAATTTGATATGTTGAGAGAATGTTGGGTTAAGGAGCACTCTAAAATACTATCCTAGATCCTAATTATAAAACTTTGTTTGTAATCTACAAACAATGTTTTATAATTAGGACGGGATAGTATTTTGTGGTATGTGTGGTATGGAATATTTGTTCAGATGCATCTAGTATTTTAAACTTTAGAAGCAATTGTGCTTTTTAAATATTATTTTATGAGTAATTTTAACTTTGTCATTAACTCCTGAAAATGTTCATTAAATGAATGTATATCAAGCACCATAAAATATTATTTTCAGTATTTTTTGGGCACTGGACCCACTTGAAAAATATTTAAGCTGTTCGATGAACTAGTAGAACTGAATGTACCTAAAAAATACTACAAAATACTAGATGTACTATACAGCTTTAGTATTGAACGTTTCTGGCGAAATATTTTATTAAAAAACTTATGTCTGATAAGGACTGAATTTATAAATTTTGTATTTTTAAGGAGCTAAATGTGTAAATTTATTTTAAAAGTCCATTGCCCTTCTCTGCAAAAAGTTACAATACGTTATCACAAAAAAAAAAAAAGTTACAATATGTAACTTAATTTCATGATGTCACTTTTTTTTTTCCCCGTGAAAGTATAGTGAGCTAAGTCTCTTTTAATTAAGGCTAGGTTAAGACATACATCAAAAGTCAAAAAAGGATTATAGAGGTATTTACAGATTTTTCTTTATCATAGCCAAAAAGCGAGATTTGATATCAAAATCTTGTGAGTTATAAATGAACTCTACCAAATAGATCAACTTTTGTTAGTATAATCAACCCCCTATGTGTCATGTTTAACAGTGCCACAATGAAACTTCACAAGTAGCATTTGGTTCTTAAAATCGTACACTCACTGTTTGTTCACAAAAGATTCACGTTTACAGACACTCGCCAATTGGCCAAGAGACATAAATATGCTCTATAAATCTATTACGAAAATGCAACAGTCTTCTGAAAATGAAGTTCAACCAATGCCAAGATGAGGGAAATGGAATTCACAGAGAAATCAATAAAGTAACAGAAATTAAAGAAATATAAGTTGGACTCACAAGTCTAACCCACTAAATAACAAGATTTTGTCTTTGATAGTTGAGCTCATAATAAATTTATATATTCAGGAAATAAAAGATTTTACTAATTTAAGTTCTTAAATATCACTTTTTCTTTATTTATTATTTAATTTTCAAATTTATCAAAAAAATGTTATCAAGTATACATATAAGTATTTAATAATTTAAAGTAAAAGAATTCATCTCCAGCACGCAAGTCAAACTAGTCCATAACAAAATCTTTGAGAAGATTTTTCCAATGATTAGACAATATATAAAGAATTGATGCACACTCACATACATACTAGGAAAATTAAACCATATTTTTGTCTTTTACTACCTCCGGTCCTATTTGTAAGATTTTGTTTGTAGATTATAAATAATGCCTTGTAATTAGGACCGGAAGTAATTTTTTTTTTTAATCATTAAAGGAGTTGTCACTTTGCTGTAACCCACACATTCCCTCCAATAGCTACCTTCACTCTTTTGTGGCCTTGATTATATTTGTCATAGGAATTGAGATATTTCCAAGTAAATTTTATCATACTAAACAACTACACTGTCAGGGAAAAAAAACTTTTAACAGCAGTTATAAAGGGTTTTTCATGGCGGTTTTGGAGACGAGGTGGCAATAGTCAACGTGGAAAGGTAAAAAAAATATGGCGGTTGAAAACCAATTCAATAAATAAAAATTCTTAAAGCTAAAACTTCTGAATCCAAAACGGGAACACAAATG